GGGTAAATATGGGGGATTGGGATTGATGAGCTCTTTAGTTGAGTGTGTATTCAACTTGTGAGGATACTGCCCTACTGTCCTCCAGTGGCTGCACCGTTCTGTGTTCCCATGAGCAGTACATGACCTTTGCAGTGGTTGCACATCCCTCCCAGCACTTGGCATTACCAGTGTTTTTAACTTTATAGCCATTGTGGTGGGTGTGGTTCGGTTCAGTTTTAAGTTGCATTTCCCTATTGATTAATAATGTTGAGTATCTTTTCCTGTGCTTGTTGACCATCTGTGTGTCTTTGGAGACATGACTGTTCAGGTCCTTCATCCAGTTTTTAATTGAGTTGTTTTTTCTTTTATTATTGAGTTGTAAGAGTTCTTTGTATTTTCTGAATACAATTCTCTTATCAGATATAGGTTTTGCAAATATTTTTCAAAGAAGAAAATCTTTTTAATCTCGATAAAGTTCATTTTATCATTTTAATCTTTTACAGATTGTGTTTTTTGTGTTCTGCTTAGGAAATCTTCGCATAACCCAGTGTCACAGATCTTTTCTTGCCTCTTTTCTTCTAGAATTTTAATGGTTTTAATTCTTACTCATTTATATATTTTAAGTTAATTTTTATGTGTTATGTGAGGTAAGGGTTGAAGTTTATTTTTTCCCCATACAGATAACCAATTGTAGTACCACTTTTTGAAAAGACTGTCTTTACCCCGTTGAATTTCTTGGCATCCTTGTTGAACATCAGTTGACATTCCAGTTCAGTTCCAGTTCAGTCACTCAGTCGTGTCTGACTCTTTGCGACCCCATGAACTGCAGCACTCCAGGCCTCCCTGTCCGTCACCAACTCCTGGAGTTTAACTCAAACTCATGTCCATTGAGTCGGTGATGCCATCCAACCATCTCATCCTCTGTCGTCCCCTTCTCCTCCTGAAATAAGCAGGGTGACAATATACAGCCTTGACATACTCCTTTTCCTATTTGGAACCAGTCTGTTGTTCCATGTCCAGTTCTAACTTTTGCTTCCTGACCTGCATACAGGTTTCTCAGTTGACATTATTACTTGCTTAACATTGTACCATGCTTGTTAATTTTCTTCCTTTCTTTCCTTTTGTCTTCTGTTTTATTTGGATAGTTTCTGTTACACTGTCATCACATTCACTAACCTTTCCTTCTGCGGTGTCTCATCTGCTATGAATCCCATCAAGTATATTTTCACCATAGACATCATAGTTTTATCTCTAGATTTTTAAAAATTGAAGTGTAATTGATTTATGATGCTGTGTTTCAGGTGTATAGTGAAGTGTTTTAGTTCTATATTCTTTTTTAGTTTCTTTTCTATTTTAGGTTATTATAAGATATTGAATATAGTTCTTTGTGCTATACAGTCAGTCCTTGTTTAATCTATATACAGTAGTGTGTATATGTTAATCCCAAACTCCTAATTTATCCCTTCCCACCTCCTTCCCCCTTTGATAACTGTAAGCTTGCTTTCTATGCCTGTGGGTCTGTTTCTGTTTTATAAATAAGTTCGTTTGTGTTAGTTTCTTTGATTCCACATATAAGTGATATCATATGATATTTGTTTTTCTCTGTTGGACTTACTTCACTTAGTATGATAATCTTTTAAGTTCAAACATGCTGCAAGTGACAGTATTTTTTTTTTGAGGTTGAGTAATATTCCATTGTGTGTGTGTGTATGTGTATGGGTGTGCTAAGTGGCTTCAGTTGTGTCTGACTGTTTGCAACCCTATGGACTGTAGCCCACTAGGTCCTCTGTCTTTGGGATTTTCTGGGCAAGAATACTGGAGTGGGTTGCTATGCTCTCCTCTAGGGGATCTTCCTGACCCAGGGCTCAAACCCACATCTCCTGTGGCTCTTATATTACAGGTGGATTCTTTACCACTGAGCCACCAGGGAAGCTGTGTGTATGTGTGTGTGTGTGTGTGTGTGTGTGTATGTATGTTTGCACAGCACATCTTCATTATCCATTCATCTATTGAAAGGCATTTATTAGGTTGCTTCCATGTCTTGGTTATTGTTAATAGTGCTGCAGTGAACATTGCGGTACATGTATGTTTTGAATTAGAGTTTTCATGTTTTCTGGATATATGCCCAGGAATGGGATTGCTGGATCATATGGTCACTTTAGTTTTAGTGTTTGAAGGAACTTACATACTGTTTCCCATAGTAGCTGCACCAATTTACGTTCCTATCAACAGTGAAGGAAGGTTCCTTTTTCTCTATACCCTCTCTGGCATTTGTTATCTATAGACTTTTTGTTGATGGCCATTCTGACTGGTGTGAGGTGATACCTCATTGTGGTTTTGATTTGCATTTCTCTAATAATTAGCAGTGTTGAGCATCTTTTCATGTGCCTGTTGGCCATCTGTATGCCTTCTTTGGAGAAATGTCTTATTTAGGTCTTCTGCCCATTTTTCTGTTTGTGTTGTTGTTTTTAAAAATACTGAGCTGTATGAACTGTAAGCTGTTTTGTATATTTTGGAAATTAATCTCTTGTCAGTTTCATTCTTTGCAAATATTTTCTCCCATTCTGTAAGTTATCTTTTCATTTTGTGTATGGTTTCCTTTGCTGTGCAAAGTCTTTTAAGTTTAATTATGTTCCATTTGTTTATTTTTGCTTTTGTTACCATTACTCTAGGAAGTGGACCTAAAAAAATATTGCTGCAATTTATGTCACAGATTGTTCTGCTTATGTTTTCCTCTATCTCTAGAAGTTTTGATTTGAGATTTGTAAACAACTTTCATATCTCTATTTAACATGTTTAGCTTTTCTTCTAGCTTCTCAAACATGGGGAAACAGTTTTAATAACTTTTGAAATTCTTTTCTACTAATTTTATTACTTGTCATTTCTGAGTCTGTTTATTGATTTTTCTCCTTAAAATGAGTTCTATTTTCCTACTTCTTTGCAGGCCTGATAATTTTTTTTTTATTGAGTGTCAATATGATGAGTTTTACCTGAGTGCTAGATTTTTTGTGTATGTGTTCCTACACGTATCTTTTGTCTATTTATTTAGTTGTGGCTGTGCTGGGTCTTCGTTGCTGTGTGTGGCTTCCTCTAGTTGCAGTGAGTGGGGCCGCTCTCTAGCTGCGGTGCCCAGGCTTCTCGTGGTGGCTTCTCATGCTGCAAAGCACAGGCTCTAGGCTCTGGGGCTCCGTAGTTGTGGCGCACAGGCTTTGTTGCCCCTTGGCATGTGCGATCTTCCCAGACCAGGGATCGCACCCATGTCCCCTGCGTTGGTGGATTCTTAACCACTGGACCACCAGGGAAGTCCTACATATATTCTTAAGCTTTGTTCTGGAATGTAGCTTAATTATTCAGAAACAGTTTAAAACTTCTGAAGTTCATGTTTAAGCTCTTTAGGTAATATAAGAACAGCCTTTAGTCCAGGGACAACGTCAGTAACCTTTTCCTGAGTACTCTACCTGATGCCGCAGGAGATTCCACTCTGGCTGGTGGGGCTTTGCAGTATTCCTAGTCCTGTATGAGCCTCAGGGATAGTTCCCTCTGCTCCTGTAGGGAGTTCTTTCCCCAGTCACAGGTAACTTTCTTACACACAAGCCTGATACTACTCAGCTGGAGACTTAGGAACCCTCTGACGTTTCTGTAGCCCTCTGTACAGCCTTCTCTCCAGTACTATGCCCTCTGAACTCCACCTGTCTTGGGAGTCCCATCTCTGTCTTATCAGTTCATGGCAGAGCGCCCCTGGATTCCCACTGCCAGCACTGTGGGCTGGAAGTCTCTAGGCTCTATCCTTGGTCAGGGGAAGGGCTCGCCTTGTTTGTGTTCCACCTCTCAGGGGCCACTGCCCCGTGCAGCCTGATGTCTGAGTGTCTGAGAATCATTGTTTCCTCTGTTTTGTTCGGTTTGTCAGTTGTTTCAGATGACTATAAATCTAGTTCCTCTTAGCCCCTCTTTACTGGAAGTAGAAATCCCAACCTAGTTTTTAGAAGTTTTAATGAAATAATTTTATCACACAGGCAAGTGTAGATTGTAGTGAGTTGACTACCTGGGTAGCCACTACCAAACTATGTAACATTGTCATATTTCTGCTCCATTTTTAAAAGCACAAATTAAAGCATTACAGATACAGCTCAAATCCTCTCTTGTCTCCACGATCTCATTCTCCTCTTGACTTTCATGGAAGTAACCAGTACTCTGTATTTGATAATTATCATTCTTATGTGGATTTTTAAAGTTTTGCTACGTATGTATGTATCTATAAATGATGTCTATTAGTAGTATTATCTTGAAATTTAAAAAGTAACATGAATCATGCCGTTCTTCTGGTTTTTTTCTTTTCTCGTTCAGCATTTAAAGAATATTTGTCCATATGCTTCATGTAATCTTAGAATGTACATTCCACAAGGACCATAATATTTGTTCACTAGCAAATCCCAAACACTTAGTGCCTGGCACATAGTAGGCACTTAATTAATATTCATTGAATGAACAAATTCACTTTATGATGTATAGTACTTGGTTGTATGAATATGCTGCAGTTTATTTATCCTCTTGTCAGTAGATGTTTAGGTTGTTTGGGATTTTTGCTGACATGAACAGTGCTGCAGTGGATGTTCTTGCTTGTGTCTCCTTGACACATGTTGAAGAATTTCCTGCTGAGTTGTTGGGCCTTAGGGTAAAAACCTCTTCAATTTATCTGTATGTTGCTGAATTGTTCTCCCTGGTAATAGTTCCAATTTATATGTGCTGCCAGCAGTGTATGAGAGTCCTCATTTCTCTATATCCTCACAAACATTTGCTATAATCAGATTTTAGTTTTTGCCTGTCATATATATGTGATATCTGTTGTTGCTGTTGTTCAGTCACTAAGTCATGTCTGACTCTTTGCTACCTCATGGACTATAGCATGTCAGGCTTCCGTCCTTCAGTATCTCCTGGAGTTTGCTCAAATTCATGTCCATATGTGACATTACATTTTGCTTTGCCATTTTTTAAAAAGTTAAACATTTTGTTTGTCCCAATAGAAATTCAATGTCTTCTTTCCGTCCTGGGAGAGGGCATAATGATAGTCGGAGGAGTGTATTTTACACCAATGAAGAGTGGGAGCTTCTAGAGCCGAGCCCTAAGGAACTGGAGGAGTCCATGATGCAGGAAGAAAGGAAGAAGCAGGTCCCTGAAAGCAACAAAGGTATGGATGTGGTCCCTGTTGTCTGTCGCTCTCGCCTCTGCCATCTGTTAACCTCTGATGCTGTGGGAGAGCCTTTGGTCACAGGTATCACTAGGAGCATGAGGCCCAATGGGAGTTCTGTTCCCTCTGTGGGAAACAAAACATAACAGCTTAAAAATGAGATGTCACAAGATAAATAAATGTCCTGTCCTATGGTTCTGAGACTTTTTCAGGAGATGGGAAATCCAGAAGTTATGGTGCTCTTTACGGAAATACTGGTTTAAAAAAAAAAAAAGAAAACTTTCTATTTATAGAAATGTGTTAATGCACACAAAAGTAGAAAATGTAGTGTCATATTCCACAGCTTTGGCTTCTTTCTTCTCTGAGCCCCTGCCCCTCCTGGCATCTATCAGCTGGGTTATTTTAAAGTAAATTCTAGATATTAATCCATTGCATCTGTAAACATTTAAGTATGTATATCTAAGAGATGATTCTTTAAAAGAACCATAGCTTCAGCATTAAACCTAAATACACCTACAGTAAGTCCTACCTGTCTTCTTCTCCAGTTGTTCTGTAATTGCTTGCAGTTGGCTTGAGCAAATGAGGTGCTAACAGGGCCCCAAGTTTGTTTAGTTGTGTGTCTTTTTAGGTCTCTTTCAGGCTGAACAGCTCTCTGTTTTCTTTTTGTCTGCCATTTACCTTGCCCTGCTTATTGAAGACACAGAGTCTTCATGCTGAGGAATTGCCCACATTCTGGATTTTGCTGATTGTATTTCTGTAAGGTCATGTAACAGGCTCCTCCATCCCTGTATTTGCTCATACACTGTTTACACTGTATGCAATATTTCCTGTATACACTATACACAGTATTTCCTGTATACACTGTACATAGTATTTCCTGTATACACTGGTCGCTAGAGCAGAGGCCTGCACAGATTCAGGGTTGACTTTTAATTATGACTAGAGTATATTTTGGGTGGGGTAGGGGCTGAGGGTTTTGTTTATTTCTTGTTGAATCACATCTGGAAGATGTAATATCTGGTTTTCCCTCTTTCTGGGATACTAAGGTCCATCAGGATTTACGGTGTCAGCCTGACTCATTCATACATTTCTCCATCAGCATTTTGTTAAGCAGCCTTTCATGGTCCCACAGCCATGGATCCATGGAGGGAATATCAATGTTTTAAATGTAAAATACAATACATAATTTTGATATTCTTCCTTGTGCTCGCTTCTGGTACGGGCTGGCAGGAATAGGAGGCAGAGTTTTAGGAAATCTTTACTGAGAGCACATATTCACTAAAGGAAATATTTTTCTGTCCCCTGGGAAAGGACCACCATGACTTGCTTTGGTGGGGAGTTCACTTGTGATCTGCAGGATGGTCACATGGAAGCATATGGTCCAGTGTGACGTAGTGAAGATATGGCCAAGCTGAGCATGCCTTGTGACCCAGCGTGTGGCACAGCTCGGGGCGGAGGTGGGGGGCATCCCGTAGAGGGGCTCCTTGTGAACTGGGAAAGCCTCTGGAGGAACAGGAATTGAGGCTGGGTATTTGGACTGTTCGAGGTAAATATTGTTGGTTCTGATTTCCCCTAGAGACTCTAGGGATGAACTGGAAGGGTGCACAGTAGCAAGACTGGAAAGGAAGAATCAGTGAGGCTTAGTGACTTGATCAAGGCGTGAACTGCCAGCACTGCTGGAGGGCAGGGCCTTCTTAGTCTCTGCTCAGCCCCTGGCCCTTTGAGAGGGAGCCCATGTGAAAGACACAGAGAGACAAAGATGTCTCTGAGTTTTATCTTGTTGATTCTTGGATATTTCCTGTGAATCAGGAATCAGCCCACCAGCTTCTTGTCCATGTTACTCATGGGAAGTAAACTAACCACATGGGCTTCCCTGGTGGCTCAGTGGTAAAGAATCTGCCTATAATGCAGGAGGTGCGGGTTTGATGCCGGGGTCAGGAAGATACCCTGGTGAAGGAAATGACAACCCACTCCAGTATTCTTGCCTGTGAAATCCCAAGGACAGGGGAGCCTGACGGGTTACAGTCAGTGGTGTCCCAAAGAGTTGGAAACAACTTAATGACTGAACAACAGAGCAGCAACAAGCTAATCTTTGTACATGCAGAAAAGCCCTCTAGTCAGAAATGCATAGCTTGATGGATTTTCACAAAGTGAACATATCCATGTAGCCAGCACTTACTTGAAGAAACAGGAGAGTGCCAGGGGCCAGCCCCCATCCCCAGACCCCTTCGAGTGACTGCATCACCTCCCACTCCCTTCACCCCACAATCACCATCCTGACTCCTAATATCGTAGATTTTGTTTTGCTTGCTTTCTAAATTTATAGAAATGGAATCTGTGTAGTATGTACTCTTGGGTCTCTTCTTTACATTTTTAATATATATTCAAATCCATCTACACTAAAATTTATTTGGCTATCTCAGTATTTTTAAGAAAGAGAATAAAATGGATTTACAATTAAGAAAACATAAACTTGGGTTTTTTGTGTGTTTTTTTGTTTTTTTCCTTTTTTAGTAAATACAGATGAGCAGAAAGCAAGCAGCCAGGAATCCCTAGTGTATCTCTAAGTCCTGCCTGTTAACCTTGTAGATGCAGGCCCTGCTCTCACTGAGGTGCCCAGGGGAAGGGATACTTTGTGCTCAGGATGCTGATGCTGTAGGAACTTGGAGGAGCCCTGTTTTTCCCTGGTCTGTGTCTCTGTTCTCTTTGGTCCTCAAAGTACCTGAAATTGGAAAATGGTGATGTGAACATATAGACTTAGAACGGATCTTTGGAGAGACAAACTTAACATTACAAAAGAATCTTGAGAGAGGTATAGTACAGTTTTGTCATAAATTCCTCATTAGTATTGATGTACAGTCTAACTTTTTTTTCACCTGTCTTAATGCAAAAATTGAGCATTAAACATTAAACCTCCCCTGTGGTCTAGTGGTTAGAGTTCATTGCTTTCACCACTGCAGCCCAGGTTCAGTTCCTAGTCAGGGAAAACATTCTTGGCTTCCCTTGGTGGCTCAGTTGGTAAAAAGTCTGTCTGCAATGCAGGAAACCCAAGTTCGATCCCTAGGTAGGGAAGATCTCCTGGAGAAGGAAATGGCAATCCCCACTCCAGTATTCTGGCCTGGAGAATTCCATGGACAGAGGAACCTGGTGGGCTATAGTCCATGGAGTCACAAAGAGTCAGACACAACTGAGTGACTAACACTTTCAATGCAAAAATTGAGCCATCAAATAGAGAAAGTTTTCCTTAAAAGTGATCACGTGAAAGATCATCTTTGGTTCTAAGTTTGGTTGTCATCAGGAACGAGGTAGGAGCACAGTGATGCACGCAGAACTCCGTAGACGATGATATTAATGTATTTTAATGTATTTTACTGGAATTTCTGAAAGGAAGATCGGGGCTGAACTTAAACAAGCTTTTATTTTTATGTAGGAATAACTGGCTCAGGATTTCCCTTTGATTTCGGACGTATTCCCTATAAAGGAAAGCGCCCTTTGAAAGAAATGATTGGATCATACAAAAATCGCCACAGTATTGGTGACCCTTCACCTGAGGTGCCATCAGGCAGTGGCAGCACCAGCAAGCCGGCCTCTGAGATGCAGCTGCTTGTCCAGAACCAGCAGGAAGAGCTAGAAAGGTTAAGAAAAGACTTAGCCAGTCAGAAGGTAATTCTCTTTCCTCAACGTTTGTATCATATCTCATATCAGCAGGCCAGGGACCGGCGGAGAAAAACCCGGCTCTCTTGTTTCTCTGACTCTGTTATTTCCCAGAAGGTGCGTTTCCCCTAAGAGTTATGTGTTGCCATGGCCACCGACGTTGGCACTACTGCTCTGCTTGGTCGTTTACTCACAGATACTTGAAATTCTGAGGAGCGTGAGATCCTCAGAGTGAACTGGGGAGCATGTTGTCTGCACCTCGCCCACTCTCTGAGCGTAATTCCAGCCCAAGCCCTGTGAAGTTTTTTTAAGAGTTTCCACATCCTGTTAAATAGCAGCTTTTTTTGAGCTGATCACACCTAATTATACTTAATTCCTCAGCAGATCAGTGAACTTAGAGCTCAGATGTTTTAATATGGGTGAATGTTCACTGGGAACCATTGCTAATTGCCGTCTGCCTGTCCACCATTTCCTGCTTCCTATCATTGTTCTCTGCAGACAGCCTTTATGGAACAAATATTTTTCCTTCTCTATTTTTTGAGATCCTTCAAGAGGAAGTTGGGTATTAAAGTATTTCCATTAGATTTCTGCATTTGCTCAAACTCTAATGGTTGCTCCGTGTAGATTGTCATGACCTCTGCTTCTCCTCCCATCCCTGCTCCCTGATCCGTCTTCTCTGGCTCCCAGGAGCTCGTGCGGCTGCTGCAGCAGACGGTGCGGTCCTCCCAGTACGACAAGTACTTCACAAGCAGCCGCCTCTGTGACGGGGTCCCGCAGGACACACTGGGGCTTCTGCACCAGAAGGACGACCAGATTCTGGGCCTCACCAACCAGCTGGAGAGGTTCAACCAGGAGAAGGACAGTCTTCAGCAGGAAGTGAGGATGCTGAAGAGCAAAGTGGGTGAGCTCAGCGAGCGGCTGGGGATGCTGATGGAGACCATCCAGGCCAAGGACGAGGTCATCATGAAGCTCTCCCGGCAGCTCAGCGAGTGCGAGGGCAGCGCGTCCTCCCCGACCTGTGTGCCCGGCTCTCCCGCGGCCGCCCCCGCGGGCCGGGACCAGCTGGAACTGGACTGGCTGAAAGTAAGAGCAGGGCCTGGGTGCCTGTTATGGGAGCAAGAAACCCCAGATCCGCTAACAGTCTGTCCATTGATGCCACTCTAGAGCACCTGGCCTCGGTGAGCTAGTTTGGCATGACAGCAAAGCAGCTGTGCCCTTTAAAAAAAAAAAAAAAAAGTGTCACAAGACTCCTAGTCAGATAACTATTAGTTTCCTAAGAAGCTTCCGTGGAAAATGAAAGTCTGAGTCCATTGATGTCACCATAGCTCAGAACAGTTTCAGATCTTTCCCCTCCCTTGCAGCTGTGACTTCTCTATTTATACACCCTTAGAACTTCTTTATTCCATGTAACCTCTGGCGGCTGTTTCTTGCCTCCTCTGTGCATGGGCCGTCACAGGCACAGCCACCTTGGCAAACCGTGGAGGCCAGGTGAGGGAGCACCGTTCCTGACCGCTGGCATGGGCTCAGGTGGAGAAGCGGACCCTGGCTCCCAGCATACTTGGGAGAAGGGCCTTCACAGAGTCAGTTGCCCCCACGCCTAAGGCAGGGGCGTCCTGACGCCCAGCAGGGAGGGCGGAGTCTCCTCCCCGTGTGCCTCTCTGGGCTGCCCCTGAGGACGGGAGGCTGGTTCCTGACCAGAGGTGGCTCTCCCTGTCACACCTGGGGTGGTGACCAGCAGATGAGCACAGAGAGCGCTGCGAGGCAGGGGGCAGGCGACTGTCCTGTGGAGAAACCCGCCTGGCCCCAGGGGAGAGCTGAAGAGCGTTGGGACACTGTCAGCCAGGCCACCGGAAGGCCCCCAAAGTATCCTGCCATCAGTTCTCAATTTGGAGAAGTTTCAGGTGGAGACGTGTCCCCTAGGACAGGGGCATTTGGTATAACCCAGACCCGAGCTGTCCCCACACACATCTGCAACTGTCGGTCCCAGCTGGCCCCAAAGTCTTCCTCACCCAGTTGCAGTTAACGTGGCACTGAGGATATTTCGTCCCCAAATGTGGTTTATTGTTGAAGGGCAAAGGCCTGCCACTTTTGGGATCGTTACTGAGCCTGCTTCATGCCTAGCAGTCCCTGTCATGCAGTGTCAATGGACTGGATGACTGTTAGTCATGCCTGGATCTTAAAGATAACTCGTAAATGGAAAGTAAAACTCTGGAATAATAGGCGACTTTGTTGGAATGTTTGTGGCCTCCTGTGGTCACCACTTCTTAGGGACAGCACCCAGTAGAAATGTGAGGCCGGAAGGATTTACTGGTGAGAAAAACCAAAAGGGCAGTAGCGGCACCAAAGCCCTCAATCTCTTTACTTTATAATTATAACTGCTACAAAAATAGCTGTGTTAAAAAAAAAAAAGGTCTTGGTTAGTGTTGCCAGTAAAAGTTGGTTTTGTATATACATGCAAGCTAGAGTGTACCCAACCTTAAATATACATCCTTTTCATACAGTTTTTTTAGAGTCCCTTTTTATAGTCTTTTTTTTACATCCCTTTTTACAGTCTGTTATTTAAGGTTGGCTGAATTTTTTTTATTAGTCATTATTTGTATTTATTTGGGTGTGCCAGGCCTTAGTTGTGGCACATGGGCTCTTCAGCCTTCATTGCAGCACATGGGGTTTTTAGTCGCCCTCTATGAACTCTGAATTGCAGCCTATGGGACCTGGTTCCCTGACCAGGGATTGAACCCAGGCCCTCTGCATTGGGAGGGCGGGGTCTTAATCACTGAACCCACCAGGGAAGTCCCTCAACTGAATTTTATGTTTTGCAAGCATCTCTGTTTTTGTAGTATTTATAGAGAAGCACCAGGGTGTTTGGTTTCCAGGCTGCAGTGAGTGGTGCTCTGCAGGGGAGCACGTTTTACCAGCGAGTGGAACCACGGTGTATGTCGGGGCGTGCGGGGGGTATTCCACATTATCCACCTTTTGATTCTGTCATCATTATTTAATCAGCCTCTCTCTTCTTTCCTGTGATTTGCTGTTATATGAATAACTTCATACATACAGCTTTTCCTGCTTAGTACTGATTCATTCAGCCAGCCGGCCATGGGGTGGGCGTTGTACTCTGCACAAAGCAGACAGTCTCTGTCTTCCTGGAGCTCAGAGTTTAGTTTAGAAAGCATGAAAATGAAAAAAGCAGAATCACAACTATAATAAACACCAATGAGGAAGGGGATATGGCCCAGTATGGTGAGGTGGTTTAGATTGAGCCTGGGCTCTGAAGCCAAACTTGGCTATATTCAAACCCAACCTTACCACTAATGACCTCTGACCTGAGGCAGGTTGGTTCATCTCATCTGCGAAATGGCACTCACCTCATAGAGTCTTGTAAGGGTTTAAAGAGGTAGTCCATGTAAAGCCTTCACAGAACACCTGGTATCCCATAGAGTTTTGTTTTAATCATAATTTTTTTGGCTGCGTCAGGTCATAATTGCAGTGTGCGAGATTTTTCATTGCAGCTCGTGGCTCCAGAGCGTGGGCTCAGTAGCTGTGGCATGCGGGCTTAGTTGCCCCACTGCATGTGGGATCTTAGGTCGTTGACTGGGGTGGAACCCTGGTCCTCTGAGTTGGAAGGCAGATTCCTAACCACTGGACCACCAGGGAAGTCCCCCTGATAGAGTCTTAAGTGAAGACTGTGATTGTCATTCTAGAGAAAGAATCCTTGAGGTGCACTGTTAGGACTTCCTTAGACTCAAGCACGAAGTTTAACTCAAAGACATGTGTCCTGCTCCCCCGACCCACCTTGTACTGCCCAGTCTCTGCCCATCACGGTCCAGTGTATTCTTCAGTTGCCCTCTAGCTCACCTTCCTTCAGTCAGCCTGCCGTTTGGTGGTGTTTGCTCATTGTTTCCAAATATGAGCGCTTCCAGACACCAGAAGAAAGGAGAACGTCATGATTTAGGTCAGAAAAGGAAGTCTGTGGACCTCCTTCGGGGTCTGACCGTGGCTGTCTCCAGTCCTTTTCATGACATGTGGTCTTGCTGAGACTGAGAACGTGTGATGCAGATCAGAGCTCAGGTGGGAGTTGGAGGCCAAGCACCCTGGCCAGGGGCCCAGCAGGCCTGGCTCCCAGACCCACACTTAGTCATCGCACGGCCTGCCTGTGACAGCTCTTCATTTAGGAAACAGAGATGATGAGCAGTTGCCAAAGAGTAGGGTTGTGAGTTTAAGTGAGACTGAGGGTCTCTCCCATGCTTAGCTGCTCTGTAAGTGTTAGCGATTATAGGGACTGTGGGAACATTTTCATTCTTCTGTGTTTTCAAGGGAAATTGTATGCCGCCACGGTGGTTCCCAGTTTGGAGATGTGGGCATCTCTGGACACATCTCTGGGGAGGGGCCGTGGTCTCTGACCTGGGACAGCACAAAGGTCAGGGCCTTTCTTGACTGCCTTGGCCTTGGACCAAGGTGGTCGTTGACCACCCTTGGAACTATCATGAATAGTTCCTCCTGAGGTTGAGGGATCAGAGATTCCTTGGGAACTTCACACAGAGTAGGGGACAAACACATTTGTAAAAGACTGGATTTGGTAGGGAGCATTTAGAAATCACTGCCCGAATTGTCTCAAAGATCACCTTTCCCTTCCTTTGCTCAGAGTTTCAAGGGCTGAAGCAAACACACAGCATCTGCTTCTGCCAGATCTGAACTTTGAGTTGGACCTGGTGGACTTGTCACTAGCTTGTGACGTTCTCTCCTTTTTCTTCTTTATTTCTTTATTTTTGACTATGCTGGGTCTCCGTGGCTGCACGTGGGCTTTCTCTAGTTGTGGTGCGCGGGCTTCTCATTGTGGTGGCTTCTCCTGTTGTGGCGCACGGGCTCTGGAGTGCACAGTCTCCGTAGTTGTGGCCCATGGGCTTAATTGCTCTGTGGCATGTGGAATCTTCCCGGACCTGGGCTTGAACCCATGTCCCCTGTTTTGGCAGGCAGATTCTTAACCACTGGACCATCATAAGGAAAGTCCTTATGATGTTCTCTTAAAACATAAAGCAAATGTGTCAAGAGTTAACCACTGGCAAATTTAGGTGAAGGGTATATTGTGTTTATTGTACTTCCAACTTTTCCATAAGTTTGAAATCTTTTTAATGTAAAAAAAATTGAGGAAGGTAATCTCTTAAGTGCCTTATACATTGTAGGCTATAGGTATTCATTATTAAGTGTAATTCTTAAGAACATTGTATATATGTATAGCCTTTTCTACATAAACTGGATAAGTAAAAATGAGAATGGACAGAAAGTTTGTTCAGTTTCTCTAGTTAAAAAACAAGATGAATATAAGGCATTACCTTTTGTGCCACCTCAGTGTATGTGGGTAGATAAAATATTTGCATAGATCTAGGGCATAAGTCCTACTTACTTCTCTAAGGTCAGTTGAGAAAAATCACCACCATCAAGTAAATTTATTTCCCCATCTCCTTCATTATGCAGTGGTCCCTACTTTTCTCCCCCTGCCAAGGGTGGCCATAAAGCTTAATCAGAAAGTGCCTAATAATCATTTTCAGTTCCTTAGAACTTGCTCTAACTTAGAAAGGGCTAGCCGCAGCGTCCCCTTTGGGCTTCCATGGTAGCTCAGCTAGTAAAGAATCCACCTGCAATGTAGGAGACCCTGGTTCGATTCCTGGGTTGGAAAGACCCCCTGGAGAAGGGAACGGCTACCCACTCCAGTATTCTGGCCTGGAGAATTCCATGGACTGTATAGTCCATGGGGTTGCAAAGAGTCAGACACGACTGAGCAACTTTCACTTTCAGAAAGGGTTATTTGATTGGTAAGGCAGCAAAATATTAATTATAAAAGATAATCAACATTCAACCAGTGTGAGTCGATGAACTTTTTTTTTCCCAACAGGATAATCTACAGGGGTACAAAACCCAAAATAAATTTCTAAATAAGGAAATCTTGGAACTTGCAGCTCTACGGAGAAATGCAGAAAGAAGAGAGAGAGATCTGATGGCAAAGGTAGGTCAGGGTGCATACATTCTGTCCTCAGGTGGGAGGCGATGTGACTCAGAAACAATTAAAAAATGGACATGCTTTCAAATCAGTTCAACCCCCATGCTTGAAGGGATATGGTTACTGATACCAAAATGTATTTAAAATGTATATAGTGATAGCACTGTTTAATTTCACTTCGTCATGAAGACAGTAGAAATGCCCTGAGATGTGGGTTTTATTCACAGGTGTAATGAACTTTATAGAGACAGATATATATTATATATATATATATAATATATATATATATATAACTGGTCTCTTTGTCAGAGACACAGTTCTGAGGTCCCCCAAATTAAGGTTGTTTGGATCTTTTGATTTATGCTATTGAGTTGTGTGAGTCAGTTCCGTGTCTATAAGTGGGGGTGGTGAGCATGATGCCTTCTCTAAATCTGATAGGGTTGGTGTGAGAGTCAGATGTGACTATGCTGATAACTCAGTTGGTAAAGAATCTGCCTGCAATGCAGGAGACCCCAGTTCAGTTCCTGGGCCAGGAAGATCTGCTGGAGAAGGGATAGGCTACCCACTCCGGTATTCTTGGGCTTTCCTTGTGGCTCAGCTGGTAAAGAATCCACCTGCAATGCAGGTTTGATGCAAACCCAAGTTTGATCCCTGGGTTGGGAAGATCCCCTGGAGTAGGGATACGCTACCCACTGCAGTATTCTGGCCTGGAGAATTCCATGCACTGTATAGGCCATGGAGTCACAGAGAGTTGGACATGACTGAGTGACTTTCACTTTCATTTCACTTTCAAAGAGGGCTTTGCGAAGTATACAGACATCACAGATACTCCAGTGATAATCAAATGAAATTCAGTGACACTGTGTCGGCAGCTATTAAATGCCTCATATACCTTTTGAACAGTCCCCAGAGCATCTTCCCAGGCCTTGTTCCTGCATATTTTCGAGGGATGTGTTGATTTGTCTGATAAGGTAGCAGATGGGAGCTGGTGCTGGGTCATAGCATCCTAGTAGGAAAGTATTGAAATACCGTAAGATGGCTGCTTGGGGCCTGTCTGCCAAGTCGTGCTCAGCTTGACTTCAGTAATGAGTGTGTGGCCTGTTTTCTGCTGTCCAGAACTCATGTGTTGACATGCAAAAGCCTTATTACCAGTACTTCTGTGCTTATTACTTTATTACCAGTACTTCCCACAGAGGGAAGAGGGGGCTCAGTGGACCATTTAGATAAGACAAGTGGCCTGTGGCATAAATTCATCTCTTGCCTGGGGTATAGTCTCTCTCTGGCTCACTTCCTAGTGGTTCTGGGCTTGTCATTCGTTGATTGCTTGAGGTACTTGAGGATTGCTCTTCCTGTGTGTCTGTCTGGAAGGAGGTAACTCCCACATTCTCTGCAGTATTCTAGCCTGGAAGCCAAGCTCTGCCAGATAGAAAGCAAATACTTGATACTGCTCCAAGAAATGAAGACCCCAGTTTGCTCAGAAGAACAGGGGCCTGCTCGGGATGTCATAGCCCAGCTGCTGGAGGACGCTCTGCAGGTTGAGAGTCCAGAGCATCCAGAGCAAGCGTTCATTAAACCTCATCTTGTCAGGTAAAGATGCTCGCGACTGCTGGGGGTGGTGGGACCCATTTCTCAAGCCCTGCTTTAAGCACAGTAGCCAGTCACCAAAAGCTTTACACAGTTTTCCATGTCTCCTTTGATGCTCATGACAAGGACTGTCAGTCATTAGAACAGGTAATCTCATCAATCTTGCTGTCGTAATCAAGTAACAGAGCTGGGATTCAGCCCAGGTCTTTTGATTTCAAGACTTTTCTTGCATGTACCGTGCCACCGTGGATGCTAGCCAGTCTTGCTGTAAGAGGAGCCAGTCCTCCAAGAGTAGAATCTTCTCCAGAGACCCATGGGTACAACTGCACTCATGGGGAGTTTGAAAGCAAAGGAGCCCCTAAGTGGGTAACTGGGCCTTCTCTGTAAGGGAAGCACACTTGGGTAACCTGATCCAGTGGTTCAGAACTCACTGAGGGTCTGATTCAAGCCATGGAGACACTTGGCCCCAAAATGCAGTTGGACACACACACAGTATTGCATGTGTTTTTCAGAAAATCACGGAGTCTGGCAGCCTGTGATGTATCTTGGATTAAGAACCTTCATATCCTAGTATCTAAAAAATGAGTTTCATGAAATATTGGCAGGAGAAGTCTGTGAATGGACTCAGTCCAGTCTCCTCCTGTTTCTGCCCCCACTATGCCTGGCTTCTCCTGCCCCACCCTGGTCCCAAGGGAAGCCCTGCCTCAGCCTGACCTGCTCTTTCCCTTCTCTGTGCTTACAGCACTGGCCTGCCTGCCTTGTCTATGCTACTCAGATGACAGGTAAAAAATATGCTATTGGAATGCAACCAGTGCCACTGTCACAGAACTACTGAGGTCTGTGTGCCAGGAGCTGTGCCACTGCTCATGTTTAACACTTAGTGAGGAGGGTGTTTTTATCCTCGGCAAATGCCGAAGCTGGGATCAGGGAGGTGATGTAACTTGCCCAGGTCACACAGCCAGGGAGTGGCCAGGACAGGACCCCAGTCTGGGCAGCCAGGTTCCCCACGCTGTGCTCTCCTGCTGTGTTCCGGGAGTGGGGTTTGCGGGCTGACTCCCATGAGGACAGAGCCCAGCTATCTGCCCATCTGTTGTATGTTTTCAAACTTTCTGTATAAGTAGAATGATAACTGTGTATATTGAGTTACTTTTAACTTTTCATTATGGAATTTCAAAGTAGTAGCATCATATGACACCCCCATATGTAACTGTTACCCAATAATTTAACAATTATTAACATTTTTCCAATCTTGTTTCTTCTTATCCTCCCCCTCCAAAATTTTTTTTCTGATATATTTTAAAGCAAGGACCAGACATGTCATTTCTGCTTTCAGCACTTCAATGTGTACCTCTAGTTGAAGACACTTTTTAATATGCTAATCCTACCATATTCATACCTTTTTGTGACTTATTTCTTTCAACATGGTTTTCTGAAATTATACAGATGGATTTATGTAGCCCCTGAGCAGTTTTTTTATCTGCCTTACACAACTTCATTGTCTATCACTTTTTTATTCCTTTGTCTCATGGTAGACACTTATGGAGTAGTTCTATTTTTTCTTTTTACAAACTGTGATGCACTAGACATCATGGTATGTGTATCCATGTGTCCATGTGTTGGCATGAGAGTTTCTCCAGCGTTGGATGTGCTTATCTTCACCTCTGCTGGATCCAGTTTTCAGAGTGCTCCTACAGGTTTACGGACTCAGCAGCAGTGTGTGAAAGGCCTCCTTTTGGTTTCCTGTGACTGCCATCACCATCATTGTTTTAAGTTGCTAAGTTTGTGATACGTATTTACTGTGTAACGGTTCTATAGGTCAGCAGTCCAGCATGGTCTTGCTGGATGAAATCAGGGTATCAGCAGGGCTGCATTCCTTCCTGGAGGTTCTAGGAGACAGTTTGTGTCCTTGCTTACTGAAGTTGTTGGAAGGATACAGTTCCTTCTGGTTGTAGGGCTAGGTCTCTGTTTTCTTGCTGGTCATCAGGTGTGGCCATTTCCAGCTCCTCGAGGTCACCTGTTTTCCTTGGCTTGTGGCTGCCTTCTTCCATCTTCAGAGCCAGCAACTGTGGGTCCAAGCCCTGTCCCACTTCACATCCCTCTGAGTCTTCTTCCTTTGTCACATCTCTCTGGACCACTCTCCTACTTTCCTCTTCCACTTTAAGGGCTCCTGTGATTACTGTGGTCCCACCTGGGACATCCAGGATCACCTCGCTGTCTTAAGGGCCATAGCTGTAATTACACACGTGGTGTACCTCTTGCCACTAAATGTGACATATTCACAGATTCCAGGGACATCTTTGGGAGCCATTATTCTGCGTACCACAGCTTTAATTCTTTTTCATCCCTAGTATCTTACTAATGTAATGTTTTCTCCCTTGTCTTTTTACTTTTTAAAATGGTATTTTTTGAGCATAAGTGTTATGCATGTGTATATGTATGCTATATAAACATACATGCACATGTATTAATATATTAATGCAGCCAACTTTATCAGCCTTGTGTTTGCAGTCTTGCTTGTATTTTCTGTGCTTTTTACATTGAGTGCTTCGACCATCTAGAGTTGATTATTTTTTTTGCCTGAGTAGTATCAAGAAGGGATCTAAAGCAGTTTTTTCCATACAGATAGCCAGTTACTCTCACCAGTTATTTATTGAGAAGTTAATTATATCCTCACTGAATTGAAATGCCTGGTCATATATCACAGTGCCATTTAGATATGAGTAGATTTCTAGTTTCTTTTTCATGTTTCACTGACCTTTTTGCCAGATTGCATCACTTAACTTTTTGTTTTGTTTTTTCTCAACAGTGAATATGACATTTATGGGTTTAAGACTGTCCCAGAGGATGACGAGGAAGAGAAGTTGGTCGCCAAAGTCCGGGCATTGGACCTGAAGACCCTCTACCTCACAGAAAACCAGGAGGTCTCCACTGGGGTCAAGTGGGAAAACTACTTTGCGAGCACAGTGAACAGGGAGATGACGTGTTCCCCAGAATTAAAGAACCTGGTCCGTGCGGGCATCCCACACGAGCACCGTTCCAAGGTGTGGAAGTGGTGTGTGGACCGTCACATCAAGAAGTTCAAGGACAGCACTCAGCCCGGTTACTTCCAGACTTTGCTTCAGAAGGCGCTGGAGAAACAGAACCCGGCCTCCAAGCAGATCGAGCTGGACCTGCTGCGGACTCTGCCCAACAACAAGCATTACTCGTGCCCCACCTCGGAAGGCATTCAGAAGCTGCGCAACGTCCTGCTCGCCTTCTCCTGGCGGAATCCAGACATCGGCTACTGCCAGGGTCTCAACAGGTAGGTCCCCAGCCCACGGAGGGCTCCTCTTTGTTCTTAAGATAACTTGTAGCTCCAGGGACTGCCTGATAGCCCTCTTCCCTTCCTGGTAAGCCAAGAAAAGCCAGTGTTTTAAGGGAAAGAAGTACTAATAGCTGCAGTAAGCTAATTTGAATTATGCACCATCCCCAACTCTAGAATAATTGAGAGAAACAAGCATGCTTTTGAAGTCTTAAGAACATCAAACATTTGAAACAACTAGGTTTCTCATTTAGATTTCCTTGCTGTTGTCCTCACACTCAGGTTTTGATCTGCCGTTTGCGTTCATTCATTTAAAATGCATGATGTGACAACAAGGATACTCCCTGTTTATACAGGATCTTCGTCAGTCATGAGGTTGCCCCAGACAGTTTTTCAGCTGGTCAAAACCTAGCCCTTGAAGAGCCCAAACATCTTCTGTTTTGGACTAGAGTCTTCTACAGGTCTGGCATGCTTCCCTGCTTCCAAATTCCATAGGCAAAGGACACTGAAAAGCCTCTCACCTTCTCTTAACAATCCAGGCTCCTTATTCTGAGCTGAGCTGCACCGGCATGAGGCCATGGGAGGTACTGAGGTCTGTTCTCTGTGAAGCTGCTCGCTGTCATTGGACTTTGAGTGCTAGTGGCTGCTTTTTACCTCTGTCTGTCTCTTACCTGTGCACTCCTGCTGCTTCTACTCACGGCTGTCATTAGAGTCCATTTATATCCCTCCCAAAGTAGATAATCCAGCTTGCTAGAAATACGAACAAAGAATGAAGAAGCTCCACGTGTGATCTTTAGCAGTTCTCCTATAAGTCAAGTGCATGCATTGAGTTTTGAATGCTGACATTTATTCTAGCAGCTCTTGGGCCTTTTTTAATCCTCATCCATGCTGGATACAGACCTCTGGATCCGGACTGTCTTTTGCATTGAAATGAGAACATTAGAACAGACTTTTGGACTCTGTGGGAGAAGGCGAGGGTGGGATGTTTCAAGAGAACAGCATTGAAACATGTATATTATCTAGGGTGAAACAGATCACCAGCCCAGGTTGGATGCATGAGACAAGTGCTCGGGCCTGGTGCACTGGGAAGACCCAGAGGGATCGGGTGGAGAGGGAGGTGGGAGGGGGGATCGGGATGGGGAATACATGTAAATCCATGGCTGATTCATGTCAATGTATGACAAAAACCACTGCAATGTTGTAAAGTAATTAGCCTCCAACTAAGAAAAAAGAAAAAAAAAAGAAAGAAATGAGAGCATTGCAGGAAGAAGAGCTTTTAAGCTGGAATGTTAGTTGGTTAAGACCTGAAACCAGTGGTTTCTAGGAAGTCATTGTCTCTGTGGTGGTCAGGCCAGGGTCCCCTCTCTGTGCCCTGAAAGTAAGAGGGACTTAGGCTGCTCCTCAATGGTCCCCTTTAAAAAAAAAAAAAGGCTATAAATAAGATATTGCCTAACAAAGCAGCCTTGTTTTGCTTAAATGGACAGTTCACACTGCATACTCAGTCTAAAAATTCCTGAAAGCTAAAACCTTCTGAAACTTAAGGGATCTTGGTGAGGACTTGAGCATGCCTGTTACGGTTGCAGTAGCACCCCGTTTATCTGACACTGGTATAGAATCAGCTCTTCCCCACATTAGGACACTTTCCAGCTTTAATTTAGACTTTCTGTGCACAATCACCATTGGGACCTCTAAACTTTAACCATTTTGCTGGATTTTTTTCCATGCACATTATTTTGTACACACATTCTGAGAACCCAGAACTTTAGCAGAACACTAGCTTTTCTAACAGAGAAGGCAATGGCACCCCACTCCAGTACTCTTGCCTGGAAAATCCCAGGAATGGAGGAGCCTGGTAGGCTGAGCGACTTCACTTTCACTTTTCACTTTCATGCATTGGAGAAGGAAATGGCAACCCACTCCAGTGTTCTTGCCTGGAGAATCCCAGGGACAGGGGAGCCTGGTGGGCTGCCGTCTATGGGGTCGCACAGAGTTGGACACGACTGAAGCGACTTAGCAGCAGCAGCGACAGCATCCTTTTCTAAGTGATTCACGCCTGTCATCATGAACATCAGTTAACTTAAAGTGATGTCTTTGAAGGCTCTGCGGATCTCAGTCTCTCTGCCCCTTCTTGTGGCGTCCTCAGGTGCTGTACACATCCTGTTTCTCCCTCCTTACCCATCTCTACTCTTTGTAACCTTTCTACTCTCCATCCCATTCATGCCGACTCAAGGCGTCCCCTTCCCAGTTTTTTTTTTTAACCTCTTAATTTGAGATTTAATTATAATTTTATCCAAGGAAGAAAACAAAAACAAATTCTGAGAAGTGACTTCAGGTCTCTCCTGTAAGTGATGCACAAGCAGAGGTTCTCAGGTGTGTAGAGAGGGGCTTTTCTATTGCCTTTTCCTTCCCATCTTTCTGTCCCGAATGCCCACTCAGAGCCAGACCTGATGAAGTTACTGGGTGAGTAACTTCTCAGTGGTGACAATGTCAAATATAGCCAGACCCAGGTTTTCATTGTGAGTGACTGAACAGCTGATACAAAGGCCCTCTTCCCCGCCCATGTGCATGCCGTGGATGCAGTATTTTGAGAAAGCCCCCATGATGGTTCATTTGCGTGAAGCCCCATTTCAAGTAGATTGGTATCAAGAAAGTTGTTTTTAAACCATCGTGTGTTCTTTCTCCTTTGTATTCAAATTCACCCCTTGATTTTTTGTGCATAAAAGGATTAGTTGGAACTTAAAAAACTCAAAGAATTAGCTGCAACAGCAAAATCTTATCATGAAAAAAAATTTTTTAAATGAGGCCGACTGGATCATTAGGAAATAATTTCATCATCTTTAAACAAAAAAGAAACGAAAGGGAGGGTGAATGTAGCTTTGCTTTTCAAACTAGGAAATGCTTCCCTTGCCACAGAATACTTACTTGGTGTTATTTCTTGGAGAATGGAAGTCGCTTTGGTGTGAGAGCACAGCTTGCCATGGAGGCGTCTGTGAAGATGGGCTGTGCTGCCTGGGTCTGGGCCAGGGGGCTGGCACTCACCTTGTTCTCTGTTTGCTTGTAGATTGGTGGCCGTGGCCCTCCTGTACCTGGAACAAGAAGATGCCTTCTGGTGTCTCGTCACCATAGTGGAAGTTTTCATGCCTCGAGACTATTACACAAAGACTCTTTTAGGATCCCAGGTACTCTAAAAATATTGTGCTTCAGTCAGCAACTTGTAGAATTAGAGCTGAATTGTGACCTGAATTAAGCGTTGATCGGGGATGCTCATGGGCATGACAAGGTGCACATGGAGGCCGCCCCCTCCGCCTGCCCCCGCTTCCCCCACCCTGGGTCGGGCTGCTCACAAGCCAGTGAGTGCCCGGTCGGGCTCACTCAGTGCCCTGGAAGCCAGCAGACCTGCTCTGTGGTCACTGCTCAGCACTGTCTCCACTGGACTCTGCCTGGCTGGCTAAGCCACAGTTCAAGGGAGCCTGGGTGTGTTAGCTCTGGTTCTCCAAGAGGCAGAGGTCAAGGCAGAAGCAGACATGTCAGAGACTGTTGAGGGGAAAACCCATGAAGGATCACGGGGAGGAACTGGGGAAGGCCAGGAGAACCCCCAGACCAGCGAAAGGAGGGAGGTTTGGGTGGTGGGGAAGACCCCAACCTGCTGTGCAGTTCTCAGAAAGTTTTGGTTAGGCCAGTGTGGAGTCCTTGAGCCAAGGTCACCTGTTAAAGTGCACATGAGACCCGCCTGCATCTGTGCCCCTGCCCGGCTTGCTCACTTGCTGGAAGCAGCAGGGACGACACGAGTCCTGTGAACAATGTCGTAACAGGTCCAGAGGGACAGAGCTGGGGTCTCCAGCACCGCCTGCAGCAGGTGGTCCCAACAGCACAGTTCCTGCCCACCGCTTCTGGAGTCTGAAGCCAGGGGCTGGTAGGATGATATGGGCTGGGATGGCCCAGGGGTTCTGGCTCCACTGGCGACTTCCCATCTCAGGACCAGACCTTTGGCCCTTGCAGCCCAGGGCATCTCTTCCCGTGCTGATCTGGGACTTCTGCTGTTGTTGGCTTCCAGATGGACTTTGCCTGCTCCCCCACTGGCAGCCCTCTTCCTATTGTGTCTGACCTGTGTCCATGCCTACTCCCCGAGAGCCCTGTGTCTCCTGACTGCAGCTGGGCCTGTGTCCTGCCCTTCCCTGCTCTTCTCTGTTCCCTACAGCTGGGTCCGCAGGCCCGGGCCATCTCCCAGCCCCTGTGTGGCCAGCAGAGGCACTGTGGGGAGCCTGGAGGAGGGCAGGGAGCTGAGAGCCATGCTCCCCTCTCTGTCTCGGGCACTTCCTGCCAGTGACTCTGTCTCCTCTGTGGCACCAGCTCCTGTCTATGCCACCGGGGGCCCCCCTGCTCCAGCCTAGGGGTGGCTTCCTGCCCTGGCCTCTGGGCCACCTCACCATCAACTGCTTGGCTTCTCGGCCTCCCTGTCACCAATGTGACCACTGCCCTGGGAAAATCCCTGTTGTAAATGTTTCATGTGGTTTCTGTTGGCCTAGTTGGGCCCTGTGTTTTATTTGCATTTCTGTCTTTGGAGGGAGCCCCCTTGTTGCCTTCTGTTAGCACCTGCACTGCCCCGTCACCCACAGACCCCAGACCAGGAATTGGGTCAGCCCACGCTCCCCCTTCCGGTCCCTCTGTGCCCCTGGAGTTGCTGTTTCTGATCACTGCCACCCGCCAGGTGGCTCAGATCTGTTCCCTTGTCCTCTCACCACTGTTAGGTCACCGTCCCCTCTCCTGCATCATTGAAGGTGCCTCTTCTTCTCTCTTTCTGCCTTTACCCACTCATCCTTCCCTCCGTCTCACTCACAGATGCAGCCACAACCTCGCGCTGGGCCCAGGCCTCTCACAGCCTTCCTCGGACTCTTTACTATCTGAGCCACCAGGGAAGCCCAGTAGATATACTCACTGAAGTTAGGTAACACAGAAACGCTTCAGTTCAGTCCAGTCCAGTCACTCGGTTGTGTCCGACTCTTTGTGACCCCATGAACTGCAGCACGCCAGGCCTCCCTGTCCATCACCAACTCCTGGAGTCCACCCAAACCCATGTCCATTGAGTCAGTGATGCCATCCAACCATCTCATCCTCTGTCATCCCCTTCTCTTCCTGCCCTCAATCTTTCCCAGCATCAGGGTCTTTTCCAATGAGTCAGCTCTTCGCATCAGGTGGCCAAAGTATTGGAGTTTCAGCTTCAGCATCAGTCCTTCCAATGAACACCCAGGACTAATCTCCTTTAGGATGGACTGGTTGGATCTTCTTGCAGTCCAAGGGACTCTCAAGAGTCTTCTCCAACACCACAGTTCAAAAGCATCAATTCTTTGGCGCTCAGCTTTCTTTATAGTCCAACTCTCACATCCATACATGACCTCTGGAAAAACCATAGCCTTGACTAGATGGACCTTTGTTGACAAAGTAGTGTCTCTGCTTTTTAATATGCTATCTAGGTTGGTCATAACTTTCCTTCCAAGGAGTAAGCATCTTTTAATTTCATGGCTGCAATCACCATCTGCAGTGATTTGGGAGCCCAGAAAAACAAAGTCAGCCACTGTTTCTACTGTTTCCCCACCTATTTGCCATGAAGTGATGGGACTGGATGCCATGATCTTAGTTTTCTGAATGTTGAGCTTTAAGCCAGCTTTTTCACTCTCCTCTTTCACTTTCATCAAGAGGCTCTTTAGTTCTTCTTCACTTTCTTTCATAAGGGTGGTGTCATCTGCATATCTTGATTGATATTTCTCCCGGCAATCTTGATTCCAGCTTGTGCTTCCTCCAGCCCAGCGTTTCTCATGATGTACTCTGCATATAAGTTAAATAAGCAGAGTGACAATATACAGCCTTGATGTACTCCTTTTCCTATTTGGAACCAGTCTGTTGTTCCATGTCCAGTTCTAACTGTTGCTTCCAGACCTGCATACAGATTTCTCAGGAGGTAGGTCAGGTGGTCTGGTATTCCCATCTCTTTAAGAAATGCATATTAAGAGGGAAATGAAAAGTCACCTGTTACCTTACCAACTTGAGAACCACAGTTAGCATTTTGATATATTTCCGTTTGACTTTTCCCCAGTACATTTAAGTATCCAGATTCAGAGCCAATTATCCTGGCTGGTTCACATTCACATGACAGCACGAACATTTTCTCATAATGTTGTCTCGTTTTCAATGTCATATTCGGTAATATTCCATGGGTTGATTGGACATGAGGTATTTAACCATTTTTCTGTAACAGATGTTGTGTAAGGCCACTTTTCAGATGGGGATAGCCGTGTGTGTGCGGTCAGCCCCAGCGCCATGCCATGCAGATTGCCGTCAGCTGCCTCCTGCCGGAGCTGAGCACTGAGCCCCTTCATGCTGCACTGTCGTCCAGACACTCAGCAGCTTCTCCGTCTGTCCCCTCTGCTGAGTGTACATTGCGTGCCAGGACCTCACTAGACGCCAGGGACACAGAGATGAATATAGTCATTCCACATCCTCTTGAGCTCAGAGAGCTGAACAGAGGCCTGAGCAGGCATCCCCTGGCAGCCTTCCCCACACCAGCCCTCTGCCAAGCCCCAGGCAGCCTCAAGAACAGGGCACCATCTGCCACCTACCTGGCAGGAAAGGCGTGTGCCTGGGTCTTCTCCCACTTCAAGGCCAGCTGACTGGTCCCTTCCTCTCAGGCACTTTCAGCCCAAGTCCTTCTAGGCAGAGGGCATCATATCGCCATCACTTGGCCCAATAGTCAGCTGTTGTCTCCCTTGGCTGTTTACAGCTTCTTAAAGGCAGTGTGCATGCATGCTAATGGCGTTAGTGGTAAAGAACCCACCTGCCAATGCAGGAGACCTAAGAGACGCAGGTTTGATCCCTGGGTCAGGAAGCTCCCCTGGAGGGGGGCACTGCAACCCATGCCCATATTCTTGCCCAGAGAATCCCAAGGACAGAGGAGCCTGGCGGGCTGTAGTCCATGGTGTCACAGTCAGACACAACTGAGCGACTTAGTATGCATGCAGAGGCAGCACCTGCTCCTGTTGTTTCTCATCCCCAGCACTGGCCAGTGCCAAGTGTGAAGTGTGTGCAAATGGGTGGTTGTTGTTTATCTGCTGAGGGATGGAATAGCACCTGCAGAAGTACCATCACTAGTGAGTGATGCTGACCTTCCCTGTGGGAGGGTCTGGGCTTCCAGGGAAACTGACCAAAGAGGATGCCCAAGTATGGCTTGTCATGGCTACCGCGCATGCACCCATAAGATGTTTTGACAACTTGCCTTTCAGTAACTGGTCCACCTATCAGAATCTTACAGCACTGGGGAACAGATGTGGGTGAGAAGGTGAGAGGGTGATACTTTTTGCATACCATGAGATGGTTTTATAGCTTCTTATGTGCTTTTATTTAAGTCTTCTAATTAATTACAATTCATTTCAGCTAATTTAGGTCTTTGAAATTTTGTCTCTTCTAGCCAGAAAGCAAACTGGACAAAAATGTATGTTTCCAACCATGATTCCTGCATTTTATCCTTTGTGTATCCTAAGGTGACTTTACAATGCTTTAGAATCATTTCTGTGGAAAATAATGTTTTATAAGTTACTTTGCCTTTTAAATCTTTACATTTCAACCAGTTGTACTTAAACCTGTGTGACATTCTTTTTTAAAAAATATATATATATTTTTTACTATAGTAGCTTCTATATTAAAAAAAAAAAAAAAAACCTTTCCCATAAGGGTAAACAATTGAGTTTTTCAAAGTTTTAGATTCTCCTTAAAAAAGGACATTTTAAAATGTCACTTTAACATTTATCTAGATTGTTTCTAGTTGTTCTAGTATCTCAGTCATCCCAATAATTCACACACCTTCTACCATAACTTGACTGATAACGATGGTGAAAGTTTGGCGGGTTTTTCGGGATCCAGTCCTAGGAGCAGGCTTGCTGTCTCTTGGGCGTTGCCGGATTGCTCTCCCAGGTGGTTGCACCAATTCACGCTCCCATCTCAGTATGCCGTTCAGGGCACGCTAATGTGGCCGACATTTCCTGCACAGCTGCCCCTGTTCGCAGACAGCCTGGTTGTGGCCCGCTGTGCATGGTGGCTTGCTCTCTTCTGCGGGTCTTCTTTGATGCTTCACTGCTCACTGGTGGAATGGTGACCTCACTGCACCCGGGCCATGGAGCCTCAGCCTGGGTCTCTGGTGAGCTGCAATTGTCCTGCTCGAGTTGCCCCCAGGCACCAGTATGTCTCAGTCTCCCCAGCCCTCATTCCTGTGACCCGGCCTCAGGGGACCACACTCTGCCCTCTCCAGCCCCTCTGGAGGCCTGTGTATTCCAAGCACCCCTCCTCCTTACCTCTGATGGCACAGGGTCTGCGTGGTTTCCCTTACCTCCATGTAGTTCCGATCTAGGTGCTCCTGTCCTCCTACCACCTCTCCTTGGCTCTGATTTTCATCCCCTCTGCTCTGGGTGTGGGGGGCCTCCATGGGCCTCCCCTTTAGCTCGGCCCCCGTTGCAGGTAGAGAGACAGACCTAAAGCACAAATCCAGCCCCGTCACTCTCCTACCCAAAGCCTCTTGATACTTCTCCTTTATTGCCTGCTGCGTTTTTCAAATATGAGTAGAGAAATCAATATAGGGGATTGGCAGTAGTGTTTTTCATCACATTAAGTTGAATAGACTAGAATTGAGGCATCAAAGTGTGTCCTCCTGTGTGAAGTTAAGTAATGCTCATGAAATATTTGTTTCTGTTCGATGCAGATTGGGTGATGTTGACGTATGTTGTCTTGTGGGTCACAGACAAAGGCTGGAAAAGCCCCTGGCCTGTAGATGAAGTCTGACCCTCAGGGGCATGGTACCTCTGCCAGGCCGGGCTGCCTCCCTCACACCCCTTCTGCCCACAGTCCTGTGCCCTCCGCTGCAGGGCTGTTCTCCCCCAGACTTGGCTGGGACCCGTCCGGAGCTCCGTAATGCTCTGCAAACACATCTTTACCAAGCCCTGGCATGGCTGGTGTAACAGCCCGTACATCTCCTTCCCCACTCATCTTTTAGCTCCTAGAAGTCAGGACTGAACCTGAGTCAAGCCTCTGCCCAGCACTGGCCCCTGCCTGACACAGAACATGGAGAGATAACAGCCACCTATGTTGATAGGTACTTACCTGAGTCTCTTGTAGTCTTCACAGAAGCCCTGGGAGAAGGAGGCTGTTACTGCTTTCCAGATGAGGAGCAGAGCTCTCCAGAATGCAGTGTGCCCAAGGCCACTCTGGAGTCAGTAGTAGAGCTGAGACCCAAGCTCAAGTGCAGCTGACTCTGGAGTCCTGGCTCCCTCACTGCCCCACCCAGCTAGCAAATACTTGGCGAATGGATGTGGTGATACCACACTTCCTCTTGGGCCGGGGACTCAGGTTGTGGCCCTCTGTAGCAGCACCCTCTGTATTTCCATGCAGATTAGCAAGGTTGACTACTCCACCAGCTCTGCAGCAGCTGTTTTCATGGGGCATTTTGAGTGCAGGCGTGGCTTTAGGCCGTCACACCCAGCCCCTGCCCTGTGAGCGCCTGCTGTGTGAGGTCAACTGCTTCTGGGGCACAGGGCCCTCCGCTCTGGGGTGAGCCCTCCACACATTTGGAACGGCTACACCGCGGTGCACTGTGATGGGCCTGCAGCCCCCTGGGGCCCTGGATGACCCACTCTGCGCCATGGCAGCCCCCACACTCCTCTCCCCTTTGTTCCCTCTCCAGGTGGACCAGCGGGTGTTCAGAGACCTCATGAGCGAGAAGCTGCCTCGACTGCATGCCCACTTTGAACAGTACAAAGTTGACTACACCCTCATCACATTCAACTGGTTCCTGGTGGTGTTTGTGGATAGCGTCGTCAGCGACATCCTCTTTAAAATATGGGACTCTTTCCTTTATGAGGGACCAAAGGTGGGTCTGCTCGCTGGATGATTCCATGGGCAGTGGCAGAGGCATCCCAGCTTAACTGGAATGTTCGACGGTTACCAAGGGGCAGAGTGATCCAGCCCTGGGGGCCACCAGGGGGGTCGCAGGAAACTGCAGTCAGTTGCTGGTTGATCAGAAACGAGTCTGTGCCAAACCCTGTGCCTGGCACAGGGGCTTCGATGGTTTGCAGTCTGAGCCTCAGCCTCTGTCAAACAGCTGGCAGTATTATTCCATTGTATGGATGAGGAGTTAGAGGCCCAGAGTGAGCAGATGATTGGGGCAGACTCAGGGGGCCAGCTTCAGAGCCCTACTGCTCACAGACCTCCCATTCAGTTTGTGTATGCTTTAAAAAAAGTCAGTTTGTGAATAAGTAATACATGATAAACTCAAATCATATAACTAAGAGTGTGCAGTAGAAAGGAGACTCCCAGTCTCCTAACTGTTCTTCTCAATGTACTGTATCTCTTTTTCAAGGTATTTGATGTATATCTAAAATATGATTTTTCAGTTTATTTTTTATCAGAGATAGTTCCATATCAGGGTATATAGATCTGTCCCCCCACCCACCTTTTTTTAAAACTCTGGTAATATCACCTTCTCCAGATAAACCAGAAATTTACCAAATAGTCCCCTGATAATGGACATTCACATTGTTTCCAGTCTCTTGCTGTTTCAAACTGTGCTGCAGTGACTCCTTATAACTGTCTTTCTACAGGTACAAGTACATCCATGGGTTTAGTCCTAGAAGTGGATGTGCTGGGTCCAGGGTAAATCCAGAATCAGAAGACCCTGTAGTTTTCACTGAGAATGCCAAATTGCCTGCAGAAGGGCCTTATCAATTTCTGCTCCCACCAGTAAAGTTTGAGTGTGTATATTAATCCCATACTGTGTCCAACATAGTACATCATCACCTTTTAAATTCAGTCTGTCATTACTAAGAGTTCTCAACCAGGGCTTAAACAGTGTTTCCCACTGGGTCACAGGTAGTGATACTAAGAGAAGGATCAGGTATTTAAACTCCGTAAGTATTGTTTTCTGAATAAGAGAAAATTCACATTGTTGCAGACCAGCCAACACCCGTAGATATGGGTGAAGTAATTTGTTCCAGAGCTGCTAAAACTTGCAGGAGCAGCCGGAGTCCATTTCCTCTGGCCTCAGCAGAGTGACCCAGAGACAAATCAGAAAAAAAAAATTTGTTTTTCAAATTTTCTTTCCCCATATTCAGAAGTCAGTAATTCAGACCCTAATTTTAGTAGGTGAGATAAAAACTATCTCCGGAGGTAGAGCTTTCTAAGAGTTTCAGAATCAGAGGACCCTGGTTTTGATTAATTTAACATTTATCTCTAGTCCTGTATAGCTTATGGACTAGAAATGTGAGCTGAATGTGGAGGAATCCACAAAGATTCTACTTCTTAAAGAAATTTTTGGTTTGGGCTGAAGTGTTGCTGAACGCCAACCAGAGAGTTGAAAACGTTTTTCTATTGAGAAAGGCACCTGTAGAAATGGCTCCTGAGGTCGTGTCTGCCCCAGGGACCCCGTGCAGGCTGTGCTCCCAGGGATCCGGCAGGTCTCCCATCCCTGGAGCTAGCGCCTGGAGCTCGGTGCTTCTCCCCTCATGGATTCCCTGTCCTTCTGCAGGTTATCTTCCGCTTTGCCCTGGCACTTTTTAAATACAAGGAAGAGGAGATCCTGAAACTTCAGGATTCAATGTCCATATTCAAGTACCTCCGTTACTTCACACGCACTATCCTGGATGCTAGGTGAGTCCTTGGGGGACCCCCAGACGTCCAGGAGAGCAGGGCCCCTGAGCTTTTATCCTTGACCCAATAAACATAAATCCTAGCAACCAAAGCACATCCTTCCTTGTCTCACAAGCACTTACTGAGTGTCTGCCACGTAGCAGGCCCTCTGCCAGGCACAGAGGGTGGTGGGTGAGGAGCAGGTCCTGTCCTCGGAGAGCTCATGAGGATGTTACAGCAGGGTTTGCTCAGAGCTGTGGTGAAGGAAGCCTGGGTAAACTGGGCTTGGTGGGGGCGGTATGGCGTGGGCCCCCTGGGCAGGGGGCACCCAGGAGCTGTGTGCAGGGCGTGACAGCACAGCATGTTTAGGGCGCGGCCCCAGAGGCTCGGCCAGGGTGGGGCTGGCATGGCAGGATCGAGCCAGGCCTGAGCAGAGCGGGGTTGTTAAGGCTTTTGTAGACTCTGCCCAGGAGGCTGCTTCACCCTGAGTGTTAGGAAGTCCCTGCAGGTTGGACATGAGAAAGGCATGTCTGGTTGGAGCAGGACTGGCTGCAGGAGGCCCAGGCTCCAGGTGAGAGAAGTGGTAGCCTGGAGTGAGGTGCCCCCAGAGGCACAACAGAGTGGGCAGGTTGAAAGGAGTGGAGAGGGAATTTGAACTTGGAAGGGCCCTGGCTTTCTGGCCTGGGCAGCCGAGAGGTCAGGAATCCCCGTCGCTCCACAAACGTAGGGGGCCTTTCTGGGCCACCGTCATTGTCCTTGTGTCCACTGAACCACAGTTCGCAGCTGCTCTGGCCCTGGCGGCCCGGGTGTGTTTGCCAGAGGGTTTCTGTGGACCTGCTGTTGGTTGGGCAAGTGGGGTGCATGTCCTTGTGAATTCCTGAGTCCCCGTTGATGTTCACTGCACTGAGGCGCTGGGAGCCACCTTTGCTACAGGAGTGGATCCTTGTGGCCTCATGAAGACCACAGGTGTCCTTTCACTGATAGACATTTAGAGCTTATTAATGTTCTTCAAACTGTGTTGACTGCCACCCATAAGAACATTTTATCTCACAACCTGGGACACACATACTGGAGAGTCTGTAACTGGAACAGGAGAATTTGTTCATTGAAATAGTTCCAGTGCTTGATACAGACCTGTGCTGTACCCCCTGATATTTTACACTGTGTATCACATATTTAAAATGCTCGTCATGACTCACTAAACTGACTCTTCAATCCACTGATGGGTGACCACCTCCTTGACAAACACCAGTTGCCCCCCCGATGCTCACAAGAAGAGAAGGCGGCTTCTCTTCTTGGCCAATGTCATGAGAAGTAGTTGGGCAGCGTCAGACAGGAGGAGCTGCAGGCCACCAGTGCTGAGGGGTCCTGGGACAAGGGGCGTGTGGGGCTAGAGAGAGGGGCCTGACCATTCTCCCCTGTGGTTCTCTTGAGTGAGGCAAGGGGACTGGGGAGGTGGATGTTGGGAGAAGATACTGGCTGGGGCCACACCTGGCATCCTTACATGTCATCACTACTGTCAGGATCTTTTACTTGGGAAGTGGGTTTTCAGATTTTTTCAGGCTTGTTGCCATATCAACAACAATAGGATATCTGAGAATGTCTGTCCTGGGGTGAACCTTCGGAGTATTCGTTAATCCCACATCCGGTCAAGACGACAAGAATGGTGTGAAGTGAACTTCACTCTGACAGCTAATGCATGTGGAGGGCATCCTGCTCAGCCCGGGACAGTTTTGTGCAGGTTGTGGGTGATGCCCTGCAGGGTGGCAGAGACACGGGCAGAAATGGGACATGGTCTGTCGTGCGTGCTTCTGCAGCGCCACCTGGTGAGTGACTGCAGGAAGTCAAGGTCCCCTGGACCCGGAGTTTCCGAGTGCAGCAGGATCACCCCGGGGGTGTTGTTAGGACTTCAGATGCCGGAAGTGGTGGAGCCCCACCTCTGTAATAAGGCCCCAGTGCTTAATAAGCTCCCCAGATCACCGGTTCCAAGGAACAGCGACTGTGCAAGTACACTGATTGGTTCTGCAGAGGAGGCAGGGAATTCCCAGTCAGATGTGGTCAGGGGAGGTGGGTAAAACAAGATTAGACCAGTCTCTGAGTCAGGACTCTTGGGGACCTCTCAGGTGCAAAGTGTCGTCTTCTGGACTTAGCTGACACAGGGCATTTCTCACCTCTTGATTGTACCTTCCAGGTCCGAGGCAGAGCAGGGTGTGTTTTCCCTGCTGCTGCAGGCTGCCTTCATGGGCAGTAGTGACAGCCTGGTGGAAGCAGCGGACAGTGTCAGTCTAATTCGGTTTTTCTGTAGCAAGGAAGGGCCCGGACGCCTCGATTCCAGGTGTATGGAACCCGTGACTAACAGCTGTCAGAGGAAAGGGGCTGGCCCTGCAGATCTGCTTGCCTGTTCCCGGCCAGCATCTTGTTTCACTGAGACCCACACTGAACCGTGGCTGTGCTCAGGCCGCTCCTGCTCACTGGCTCTAGAACACGCTCTGGGGAGCTCAGCTCTGAGTGCCAGACTTTCTGACCCTTTACCTTCTGGCAGGAGCATCGTCTGGCTTGCTGTGAGGCATGTCTAACAAGTGGGTGTTTAAAAATATAAGAGGAGTGATGCTAAGGGCATGTTTTGTCTTATCTCTGTCCACCTTATAGTAAAACAGCCCACGTGACTGGGCAGCAGCAGGAGTAAATGGGGAGAAGTTGGGGGAAGTCCAGTGACGTTGTTGTTTCATCACAGCCTCTCCTGGGGACTTTAAGAGCACCAGGCCTTTGGTCCCTGCTGCTGGGGCCTGCAGGAGCGGGGCAGGGGCTGAGGGTCGGAGGAACTGGCTTCTGTGACAACTGCAGACATGGCATGGTTAGTGCTAGAAGTCTATAGCTTCTAGTTATGGGCACTTTCTAGTTCCGCTTTTACTAAACTGCTGGCCAATGGTAAGGGGCAAAACCCATGATTTTTAAATGTTTACTGTGGTGGGTGCCTAGGCCTGGGGATAGTATGAAACCTGTTAACTGCACTCTTCTCCATAAGCTGCATCTTAATACCCGTCACACCACTGTCTGAGCCTGACAGCTGTCCCCACATTTGCTGCGGCATTTGTGCACTGCTTCACCCCGTCCAGCACCAGGCACCTGAGGGCGCCCCGCACCAGGCCTCATGCCGGTTCTGAGGATGCGGAGGCCCACCACCGAGCAAGTGCCAGGCCCTGTCCTGGTGCTCCCGGGCGGCGACTCGAGTAAACCCATGTGGGAGGTGGCACTGCAGTTACCTCAGTGTATGGATGAGGAACTGGGGGCTGGAAAGGGGGGAGCTTCCCACGTTCCATGTCACGCAGGGCGTGTGTGGTGGAACTGGATCCAGGCTGTCATCTGGGGCCTGCCCTGCGGCCTCTGTGTGCGCACTGGCCTCCGAGTGACACCCACGTCAGGCCCTCAGCACAGTGTCTGGGGTCTGCCTCCCCTCGCCCCCGGGCCCCCAGGCCAGGCTGAACTCTCACCTGACCCCCCCCCCCTTGCCATGCTCTGTCTCTGCCATGTTCTGCCAGGAAGCTGATCGGGATCTCCTTTGGGGACCTGAACCCATTCCCCCTGCGGCAGATCCGGAACCGGCGGGCCTACCACTTGGAGAAGGTCCGGCTGGAGCTGACGGAGCTGGAGGCCATCCGGGAGGACTTCCTGCGCGAACGGGACACCAGCCCGGACAAGGGCGAGCTGGTCAGTGACGAGGAAGAGGACACCTGAGTGCTGCCCCGCGCCCCCGCCCAGGACGCTGCTCTCCTTGCAACCAAAGTGTGCCAAAGGGTGAACTGCAGAGACGCCTGCGCTCGTTCCACATCCAGAATGTAACATCCGGGGTCTCTGGAAGTCTGCTGGGCAGACATCCAGAGCCGCACTGCACTTTCTCGTTTCCACTCGGGTTTCCTCTGTTTACAGTCATCTGCCTGCCACGGCCGATGGCTCCTCCTGTCCCGTCATGCTTTCCGCCCGATCGGTACCTCACCGGGCTTAGAGCTGGCTAGTTTCACGAGCCTGTTTATAGCATCTGTCAGCTGTGTTGCTGTCTCTGCCCTTAGGAAACCTTCCACGGGCCGTGTGCCTGGTGGTGGCTCCTGTACACAGTGGGCGGTTGTGGGCGCTGGTTTGAATGGTAGTTGTGGAGGACGCCCACTACGCCTCACACACTCCTGGGCCAGAGTCTAACTGCTTTGGGTGACATAAGGCTTATGTGAAAGAAGGGATTTTCTTAGGAAAGCCAGCACATCCCTTGTTCAGAAACGGCCTATGGCAAGCCCACAGACCTCATGCTGATGGCTTCAAGGTGCTGGCCGTGCCCCACTTCTGGAATAGCTTCTGCCCTTTCATGCACAGCCTTTCAGACAGGAACTCCCAGCCTGCTGGCGGAGGGCCTGGCTCTCCAGACACCCCACGCTCGCTCCTCTGCCTACACCGTTCCAGGCGGCTCCGTGCAGACCCTTTGTTTCCTTCTGAGAGTTGACCCTGGGCTCATTCTTCACGTGTGGACGGGATTCCAAGGAAACCCAGCATCATCGTCCTACAGAGCAGGCCCGCCTCTGGGCTGGCCTTGGTGGAGGGGATGCAGGGAGCTGTTCTGGGCGCACTTTCAGGGTGGCAGTGTAGCAGCAGAGTGGTTGCCGTCGGGCAGCTGGAAACTGTGGCTTCCTCGGGAACAGCCAGTGTGCCGGGCTGGGGTCGGGGGAGGCTCCCAGGGCCTGGGGCGAACCTCGTTCGCTTGAGGTCAGAGCTTTAGCGAGCCCTCCCAGGGACATCCCCTCCCCACGGCCACGCTGAGACATCCTGTACTCAGCAGCTGTCCCCCTGTGGGGTCCCCACCACCCCCAGTGTGTCGGGCTGCCCAGGCAGTTCTGGGACTTAAAGCAGGACCTTTCTGAAGGCCCAGAAAGAGGCTCTGTGCAAGGAATATTGTTTTTGCTTAATCACTCTGTGGACCATCCCTGATGTCTTGGTGTGAGAGACTGTTTTCCTGGACAGTAATACTCAAATAGGAAAGAAAAAGTTTTTGGTGGATTTTTTTTTTTTTACACTACCTGGAAAAAATTGGAAACAATCCTTGGTGGATATTAAACACACTCAGACTTGTTGAAGCACTGTTTTTTTTTTTTTTTTTTTTACACTACCTGGAAAAAATTGGAAACAATCCTTGGTGGATATTAAACACACTCAGACTTGTTGAAGCACTGTAACTTGAAGAGTGCTTTTTTCCATAAGCATAGTTTTTCTTTTCTTACTGTCAACCTTCTAGCAGTCTCATAGCCAGGACAGCATTTCAGCATATTAGACCAAGTTCAATTTTTCTGTCTTTGGTTAAGCTGGTTGGTTTTTCACTGTGTCCGGGGAGCTGGCCTCTATATGTAGGTACCAAAATGTATCTTATTGTTTTGGTCTTTGGGAGCGGCTGTTTGAGGCCAAACATCTCCAGGAAGTCGCCTTGTGAGTGGGTTCGCTCTGAGGCGAGGATGCAGCCTCACCGCTCTGCACACACCCCCGCAGGACCACTGGGGCTGATGGAGACCGCCTCCCGCCTCTGCCGCCAGCCTAGGGGATGGCAGCCTCTGGGGATGGCAGGAGGAATGGGGCTGGACAGCGCCAGCTTCCTTGAGATTTTAGTTTCCCCTAAGTTGATTTCCCCTGGAACTGTCACATCCTGGGGACTAAAATGCTGCCTTTAGCAATAGGCTTGTTTTGTCCTTCCTGCCTTGAAAAGACTTATCTTAAAAGCACCTGAATTGGGCCCAGGCACCTGCCGTGTGTGGCTAAAGCCCCTGGTGTTGGCCTTTCCCTGAGCGGCCAGTGGTGTGTTAATATTTCCAGGCTGTAACTGTTAGTGGCCAGGCTGTGGGTATGGGAGAACAGAGAGCGGTCGTGGAAGGAATGGGCTGGGAACACTTGCTTGGAAGTTCTCCTTTCTGGAATAAAGCACTGGTTGTTGAGAGGCGGGAGAGGGACTGCTTGACCTGATTCCAGACTGGGGACAGGATGGGGCCAATCCTTCTCCACAACTGTAGGGGCTGTTCCCACTACTTCCCAGTGCTTCCCTTCTTGTGCCGCTGAGGAAAGAGTAGCTCCGTATCCTCCCCTTCTGACAGGTGCTGCCTCCATCCCAGCCTGGGGCGGGGCAGCCTTCAGCCAGCTTCCCAGACGCGCACACCACGGCCAGGGGAGCCGCCCTCATCACGCCAGGTGGGAACTGCCAGCTTTCATGTTGGTGAGTTCTTTTTTTTTTTATGGGTTGAACATTTGTTGATATTTTTGTATATTTTCACTACAGTTTATATTTTTATAGGCTATTTTTATCAAGGTTTTCTAGATTATGTACATCTATTTTGTATAACATGTTCTCTTGTGTATATGTAAACCTGAGCCTCCAGAACCACTATTCACATCTGTACCCTCTCTGATCCCCAGCCTTGACCTTCACTGACTTCCCCTATGTACACGCGGGCCCACTTCTTACCCCAGGTAGCCTTGTGGCTACTTGCAGTCATGCTGACAGCTGTCCCACACCAGCCAAGACTGTTGATTGCTGGGAACGGCTCTGGCTTCTATGTTATATCGATATAGGAAGTACTCTAGGCAAATAGCCAGTCCGCTGTTGTTGTTTTAACTAAATGTTTGTATTACTGCACAAATCCCTACTCCTCACTTTGCACGCCGTTGCCTTCCCGCCTGTGTTCTGGGAGGCTGGATGCCAGCCATGGAGGACTCAGGGTGTTGCCAAGTGACTCTCTTCCTTCCATGTCCCAGCAGCTTCTGTGCTTATCTTCCAGTTAAATTTTGGAATTGTCCTACTAAAAGGCAAAATAAACTCATTTGTATAACATTCTGACTTGAAAACTGTTACATTCACTTGTGAAGGGACTCAGCCCCAAAGGCTTGAAAGGTGGGGCAGGGCTTAAGTGGGGGTGGGATGGGGGTGGCTCTCCACCTTCCACCGTGTGTTTCTGCATCCCTGCCTTTGGTTCGCTCTGAGCAGGTGGGACAGAGTGCCTTCAGCCCTGGGAGGCCCTGAAGCCATGGCCAAGCTGCAGGTGAGGGCTGGCGGCACAGGGTGGGTCAGGGGTCAGGAGCCGGAGTTCCCCGTGTCCGGAGCAGCCCCTAAGCCACCGGGTGGCAGGCACCCCTCCTTCCACCAGCGGTGACGTGCCCTGCCTGAGTCACGGGTTGTTTGCCTCCTGCCTAGGCTGACAGCTCAGGCCCAGCTGCCGCTGGGGACGCCACTCCCCTCACCCCCATCATCGGAAAAACACACGAGAATGATTAAGACCAAATGTCTTGCCGCAGAGTGACGGCGTGGGGGAGCTCCAGTAGAGATTCCCAGACAGAGCAGGCGAGGAGCTGGGGAGTCTGCCTCCTCCCGAAACACAGATTCAGCGAGGCTTGGTGCTCCTGGGCACAGCTGGGCCTGGGACCAGTGCTGGCCCCGGCTCCCAGTCCCTTGTAAGGGCTTGCTCTTGCCACAGTGGAAAGCCTTGGGAAGCAATTCCTCAGAGCAGGGGTCCCTGGGGCCACAGAACAGAATGTGAGTGGAAAAGGGGGACGAGCCCCCTCCAGGCGCAGCACTTGTGAGCAGAATGTAAGATGGTCAAGTCCAAGGCTCACGGCCAGACGTGAGGGCCAGAGCCTGTTCAGGTCACTTCCTGGCCTTCTCCAGCCTCTGCACCCCTCACCAGGGCCCAGGATACTTCAATACACCTCGTGCCCATCTGCTCCCTGGTGTATTCACCACAGTCTGACTCCGTGGAACTAGGTGTGGCAGGCAGGGAGAGGCTGGTGTGGCAGGTGCTGGGTGGCAGGACCACGTGTTGTCAGAGCAGGAACCCAGCATCTGGGACTGGCAGTGAGGAAGGAGCCAGCCCAGCTCTGTCCCCGAGCATGGAGATGAAAGAAAGGGCCAACAAGGGTGGGTCTGACCTGTCTGCTTCTCCCCCCACCCCTGGTACAGACAGACTTGGGTGAAGCCGGGGGGGCCAGGGGATGTGTCCATGGGGTTCACTCCAGGGGTAGACCCTGCTGGTGACAAGATGGGCCTTGCTTTTTAAGGGGGTGTGGCTCAATCCCTGTGAAATGCAGGGGTCTGGAAAGGGCTGGGGGGCGGGGGGCTAAGCAGGGGGCATGAAGTAAGGGGTGGGACCAGCATCCACTGGGCCTCTGCCAGGCTGTAGCTGGTGCCCGAAAACCCTTCCCTCCACCTGTACCAGCACACACCTCCTCTAGAAGCCTGCCTCTGCTCTGACCCCTTCGGGCCTTCCTGTCCCCATGGGCCCCTCTCTCCCTGCAGACCTCCCAGAGGAGTGGACGGAAAGATGCTCTCTAACCGTGGCAAGGGGGAGTTCCCCCAAGCCAGGAGGAAGCCAAGCCGCACTTGGAAACAGTAGATGCCTGTTTATTACGACAATAATAATAATAAATGTTATACAAACTGTTAGAATAAAAAAATACCTTTTCTGAGGGGGAGGGGTCCCCAGCCTGCCACTGGTGGGATCCCCGGTTAGCACCATTAGGGCGTGAGGGGCGGGGCTCCGCCACAGCCCATGCTGGGCGCTGAGGTCCGTGCGTCAGTCTGTCTGTGCGTCCTGGCCGCTGGGGGCCGGGGCATGGGTCAGCGGCGGGCAACCCTCTGGTGGCCGCGGGAGGGGACACCGGGTGGGGGACAGGAGCGGCAGCACTGGGCGCGGACGGTGGGCAGCTGGCAGCGGCCCAGCAGGCGCAGCGTCTCACAGAAACCGAAGGACAGGCGATCGCGCTCGCAGCCTAGGGATGCAGGGGGCGGGTCAAGGCCCGCAGGCCAGGCACCCCGCACCGCCCCCCTGCCCGCCCCAGGGGGCAGGAGCTTCCCTGAGATTTTACCTGGGCCATCTCCCTGTCCCCCAAAGACCTTAAGGAGGCCTGCAGCCACCGCCAGAGCATCAGCCTGCTGTTTCTGGAAGGGCTCCCATAGGCCTGAGGTGTAGATCTCCAGCGGCTCCCTGTCCCTCCTGCCCTTGGCCTGGACCCACCACCCCAAGACTGGGGAACGGGGCCTGCTGGGCTCGGGTGTCCAGAGGAAGACCCTGAGACCCCACCCCTGACTCCTCAGGGGCTCGTGGGAAGCCAAGGAGCCTGCCACCCTTTCCGTCTCTGCAGACCCTACATGACCCCAAGGGCCTGGCACACAACTGAAGTCCCCGGGCCCTCCTGCCAGCCTACAGTGGCCTCTGCCCCCGACCCCTACCCTCTATCCAAAGGCATCAGTCCTGCCAGACCTCCCTGCCCCCGGGCTATGCCCAGCCTCAGCCTCCAGGTCGCACATCGGAACAGTCCCGCCAGCCAGGCCCGTCACTGAGGCCCCAGGAGAGGAGGTATGACCTGGGCCGGCAGCCTGTCAGCAGAGCCCAGGCCTCCTGAGGAGGGACAGACGGAGGCCGCCTGTCCGAGGCTGAGGCTGAGGCTTGGCCGGCCCTCCTGCCCCATGCTTATCAGAGCTATTTTGGGATGCGGCTTGCTTCCAACCTCCTGGCCTCGCTGCCGGTGACAGCCTCCAGCTGCCGCCCTGCCCTGCTCACTTCAGCAGACATCCCGCTGGAGGAGAAGCAAGGAGGCAACTGGCAGCCCTGGCCCTGGGACATCCCCAGGGCCCAGCTGCGGGCACAAGGCGGCAGGCCAGATCCCCCAGTCCGGCTCTGGGCAGCAGCTCTAACCTACATATCCGCCAGCCGCGTCCTGTTCCCACTGAGAGACCTCAGGCGAGTTTCTGAACTGCTGTGGGGGCCCCAGTCCCCTCCTCTGCCAGTAACCCCCACCTCCACAGGCAAACGGATGTGGCCTTGCTATGTCAGCTGCCTCACAGTGATGACCGCACACCCTGGAGTTTCCAGACTTTTCAGACGTCCTGCCTCACAAGTCATCAAAACATCCTGGAGACCCCAGGGGCTCAGCATCCTGGTTACTTCTTTGGCCTCTGCCCTTAAACAGCTCACTTGGGTGCCGACAGCTACCTTAGGGCTGTGTGCAGGCTGTGCGGCGATGCTTGCCGGATGAATGCTGACGGCACGGCACTCGCGGCGGTGGGGTTTCTGCTGGGCCTCGAGGTAATGGAGGCAGCAAGGCATGGCACTGGCTAGTCTGGGCCTGCCCAAGGGCTGCCGAGAAGCCAGTTGCTGGTACAGAAGGCAGCTTGGGGCAGGTAGCCTGGAGGCCCTGGATGCCAGCTGAGGGCCAAGTCTGTCCTGGGGAGGGGGCTCTGTCTCCTGGGCAGGGGCCAGACAGTTGACAGCAGAGGAGCTGCTGGGTTCCCGACAGAGGCAGCCCCAGGTGCTCCTGCAGACCTCATGGTGGGGGGTGACAGTGTCCACGAGGGAGAGGAAGAAGCCAAGCTTCCCTGAGCACCTCCTGGGCTCTTCAGCCCAAGACCTCATTTGGAGGAGAGGGGTTGTCTGCCCCTTCATGCATAAGACGGAAGGGAGCGCCAGGCCGCACAGCTGGTGAGGGGAGGCCAGGTGTGACCGCAGAGCCACCGTTTCCTGTGCTTAGCACTGCGGGGGGGGGGGGGG